TCATGCACGTTCCATGAAACATGGCGTAAAATGTTCAATCGTGCACTGTGTGGATGAGCGAAGGAAAGGAGGGAAAAGCAATGTGCGCGTGCGCGTGTGTGTGCATACCACGCTCTCGCCTTCAAGAAACACAGGGCTTTGGGAGCGTGTCTCGTCCTTACGAGGTCTGACTCTTTCATTCGTGAACAAAAGACACCGATTCTTGCAAATTGCACAGACGCAGCAGTGTGAGTAGAGCACCAGCAAGCAGACAGGCAGAGGAGGGCACTAATCACAAGAGATTTCACTGGTATTATTTTGTAGAGAGATATGGTTCTTGTGCCATATTTCGTGCCTCGCGTTTCGTCTTTTTTTTTTTCTTGTGTTGGTCGATGTCCGTCACGAAGCGATAGTAGGCACAGATGCCATTTCGTACATTCCTACTGCTCGCACCGCGGCGAAAGCGGCCAACAAGAAGCAAAATAGCATGAGCATTGACGCCTTCACCAAAACCAACAACAGCAACAGCACCATCACCGACGACAACCTAGTTTTTGCATGCCTGTGCGCGCGCGCGCCAGGGTTGGAGGCAGACGCAGAGGCGTGCGAGCGGAAGGAGCGCGGGGACGCGCGCAAGGCCCGGGAGGCCAGCGATCGAGCCGAGGAGGCAAGAAGGAGGGACAAGGAGGAGCGTGACGCTCTCAAGGGCAAGATAGTGGGTCGGTACGCCGACGAGGTCGAGGTGCGCGCCTTCGGGGGCGCCGGGGGGGCACATGGGTTTTGTTTTGTTATCTCACTGCTACGTGAGGGATTCATCCGCTTCGAAAGGCGGTTGTGCTTGTGTTTGGTGTTCGGATGCAGGAAATCGCCGGTACGTGTGGGTGGGTGCCCCGATGGTGTTGATCTCGCACGTTTTGTTTTGTTTTGATGCTCCCCGTGTTCCTTGTTTTCCTCGTGCCTGCCCCCGCGTGTAGACTGCAACCCTTCGAACATGTGTCTGCATGCCACTGATTTTGTGGGGCTTTTGGTTGCCGCTGAGGGATGCAACGCGTTGGTCGCACAAGATGACGGCGGCAACGTAACGTTCCTCGCAGGCCTCGTTCGTAACCCTCTCAACACACCACCAATAAATCGAAGCACTTGTTTTTGCTGCACGCTCGCACGCACACGCGCTGCTGCCGGTCGGCCTCTCTCTCTCTCTCTCTCTCTCTCTCTCTCTCTCTCTCTCTCT